ACAAGTAATGAAGAGACTATAGCAGCAGATGTCAGGAAGCAGAGAAACATCTTTTTTTTTTTCCTGTATGCACACACACATTTATCTCACCTATTATGTCTAGCTCTTGTCTAGGAATCTGGTTTCCAGGCTTTGAGCTTCTGAGCAGACKTATTTCTCCATGGGAAACGGAAATCTAGGAAACTGGGAAAATTAGAGCCACTTTATACACATGGAGAGTTGAAAATAGCATGATATGCTATATAGGTGGCATGATATTAGGGCCTAGGATGTGCTGTGTCGCCTGTCACGGGTATGTTTCACCCTTTCCAGAAACTCTCCTGGCCATCAAACACTCAAAACAGATTATTAGAAAATTGTATAGCCTATTGAGCTGCTGTAACTCACCCTACAGTTCTGGGCTGGTATGGTAGTTGAACAACAACACATCTGGATGATTCTATGTGGCTCCTAAATGATGGGCTCACATTTTCATATGGAGGAGCATCCACAGATCCTGCCACATCCCTAAGAGCTACAGCAGGCAACACCTCTACAAAACAGACCACTTTTCTTCAGCAGAATAAAAAGATCTTTAGAAATCTGAAACCAGACAGCCAAATACAATTATGTTGGATTTTAAACTTTCTGTGCTGTCTCAATTTTCTGTCACAATAAAGTGGTAGCAAGACCAGCTGTCCCTGCTGGCAGGAATATTGGCTCAATGTATTTGTGAAGGTTTTAAAAGGATTTGATGTCAGAAAACCTTTTGTGAGTTTTGGTTTTTATGATCCTGGATACAGAAAAACATTTGAGCGCAATGATACAAGGGGCAAAGCCTGGAAAGGACAGAAGGATTTTTGCTTAGAAAATAATAATCTCTCTGCTTAGTACCTTCCATACAGTGAGCTCTCCTGGTGCCCAGCTGTGAAGCTCCAGAGCACCCCAACAAGTGGACTAGTGTTATCATCTTTGCTTTATATGCAGAGTGATCCTGCAGATGTCAATACAGCTCAGGGGCTGAGACTACTGCATTCCAAGCTAGAGTTGTGTCAAATTCTGGCCACTGTACTCTTAAAAGTAYCATGGCCTTTTTAGCAAAGGTTTAGCAAGTAGAGTGCTGGGGAAAGTGGACTGCCTGAATGTAAGAGATTGGATCAGCACATGTATCCAGGATCTGAAAGAGAATAGCTGTAGGAAAAAAAAAAAACAAAAGTCATACAGTTCTATCTGTAAAGATGATTTTTCAGATGAGGGAAGGAAAAGCACCAACCGTTCCTAAAGCTGTTATGTATGTACCATTTTCCATTGGAATTTGAACTTACTATGCAGACTAGGCTTTACTTGACTGAAAGTGCCCCCAAAAAAGCCGATTCTCCCAGGGAGATGGTGTCTGTGCAGGAGACCATGAGCACAGGAACCACATTCTGTTCTCCCCACAGACCTCATCTTCCACAGTGATGAGGAAGAGTGTACAAATCATGCTGCCATTTACCCCAGCCAGCTGTGTGCTGAGGAGGGGGGCACAGGTTAGAGAGCCTTTTAAAACTCCTTTCAGGTTATTTATTATCTCTGCCTGTGCTATGAACTGGCCTGAGCTTGAGGACTGCTGACATGATACCCAGAGGGAGTCCTAACACCTGTCTTATCAGGGTGGGCTGCGTAAGGTTACACTGCTCTGCACTTCTCTTGCAAGCAATGTTTCAGGCTTGGGTGGGGGCCTTAGTCACTTTTAGTGCTGTCTGACGGGCTCGTTTCTCTGCAGCTCTACCACCAACAGCAGGGAAGTTCCTCTGGGCATGAGAGTCAGACCACACTACACCACTCTTTGACCTCCTCCTTTTTTCTCTCACCCCTTGCAGGATGGTGGCAAGCAGCTGCTTGAAGGGCTCATGGATAACAATATTTTGACTGAGTTTGACCTCCGCCTGGCTGAGGTGGGCCAGGAGAGTGAGTATCTCATCAACCAAATTCTGTGGGCCAACCAGGAAAGAGCTCGGCTGAAAGCTCTGCAGAACCCATCAGTCAAACCCGTCTGAAGAAAAACCTCCAGACATCAATGGGCTTTTCAGGTACCAGTAGTCCACTATGTAAGATCTGACATGAAATACCTTTCCTCTCTGAGTGCYGTGGCAAAGAGGGCTCCCTGCTGCATGTGAGCAGGAGGGAAGCATACGAGACATTTAATGCCTGTMATCCAGACCAGATCAGCAACAGGCCACAGAGCAGGGCCTCTACAGGCCCTTCAGGCATTTCCCCATCTCCCCACCCATCTCCTACATTCTGCTCTCCCACAGACTTCAAATCATCCCRTGTTACCTTCATGCCAGAAATTCCAGCTCTCCGCTAGAGCTGCAAGAAGAGGTGGTCTGTCAGAAAAACCTTGTACAGCCACTGGTGSTGGTGGTGGCTCTAGCTGGCCCTGGTTTGTTTGCAGGAAGGTCTTCAGCCTCTGAAATGTCACCAACACAGTGACTGGCAGCAGGAGCAAAGGCCTTCACCCGCTCAGTCTCCTGTGTTTCCAGACCACCTGCTTTGTCCGAGGCTTTGATGTAGGATGGGATTTTTCATCCTTAATTTACTGCTAAACAGCATCCATTTGATAGCAGAGCAAATGCTACATTGCTGYCAGTCTCTGTGTGTGAACAGTAATGTTTTAATGCCTTTTGGGAAGGCAGCCTTTACTTATTTTTTTTCCTGTGTGTTTTTGAGAAGCACTCAACTTGTGACAGCTACCACAGCCTTTYTTTGCCAGATCCCCATCATCCTAGCCTGTGGCTCAATTTGAGAAGAGCATTAGATCTAATGAGGCTGTAGTGGCTTCACAGAAGTAATTTGCCTCTTAAGTTCTCTCTCCCACTGTGTTGAACATTAAATCCCCTCTCCTGTGGTTTGTTACATACTCCTGTTGGAATCGAAGGGTAGGATTATGAAAGGGAATGAGTTTGGGCGACTGGATGTTGTTACACCTATGAAACACCTAAGGTGAATAGCACTCCTAAATGGTCTCGTTCAGATTTAATCCTCAGGGCAGGCAGCTATTTCAGGCTTTTTCCTGGAGGAGGAAGTCAGATGCATAGAGAGTAGGAGGAGGTTTGTAGCTGCTCAGAAGCTTTTTCTTGTAATTCATCCAGCTGAGGTTTTAGCTCTGTTCTTATAGCAAAACCTGTTGAGCTTGTGATATGAGTGGTGAAATGTAAAGAAGACCATTCAACAAATAGTATTTCTCTTCAGTATCCTTTCTTGCTTTGTGTGCTGTCAGGCCTTTGAACACTGCCAGTCCTGTTGCAAACAGATGAATTCCTTAAAATTCCTTAAAAATGCTCAGGAATACTCTTTCCACCCAAACCTGTCAAACAGAAAAATCTGTATTTCGCAGAACTCTGAATGAAAGGGATCCCTCCTGGGATCCTGCAGGACTGCTGGATCACAGATCTCCCAGACAGAAGCAAAGCCTGGATACCTTGCTGTAAATGGAGCTACTTCCTTGGGGTTGGAGGGAGACAGAGGGGTCAGTACAAGCAGCAGCACAGGCTGTCACTTACCTTTCCCTTCCAGTCACCAGAGGAGGTTAGGAAAGGCCACCTACCATCAGGTAGATTGCCTTGGGCCTTTGATCACCCCAATCAGAAGAGGTTGGCAGGAAATTAAGCAAAGTTTAAGACTGACCCTTCTAGGCCTCCAGTCACTGCCTGCCCTCTGAGCAAGGCAGGGGCTTCAGGTGTCTCCCAACTCTGGCCTGCACCGGTGCCCACAGACCCACTGCTGAAAGCCACGTCAGTGAATTATCTGAAACTTTTATTACACCGATTTGGTTTACAATCTTTGTACTTTGATATTTCCAACAAAAAAGGCAACATTGTGATATACCTTTTGTACATATATAGAGAGACAGACAGAGCTAGATCATATTGACATAGTTGAAAAGTAAAAACTGTTCCCAGTGCTCACAAAAGAATTTGTTAGCCATGTACCCGCTTGTGCCTTGCTCTGCCTGATGGATACAGACATCTGTGGCTCTGCTGCCTGCAGACCCTGGGCCAACAGGGCCTTTACTGCCTGATGTCATGGCCTTATAGATCAGAGAAGATAGAGTGCAAGGCTGTCACCGGCAGCAGTGGCCACACCAGGGGTGGCGACACAGACCACCCCCCAGCTTGTGCAGATCAGTTTTAGCTCCCTTCCCAATTATTCATGGATGCTCCAGGGGCTAGTTCTGCAAGAAAATATAACCAGTGGCAGCAGCTRTGAAGCCCTCCCACCCTGGCATCTCCAACTACTTGTTTCCCATCCTCGAGACCGAGGTATTGAATAGATTAATTTATTTGCATTTACAAAATATTTCTACTGATTGACACACCTGAATGAGATGAGAGCTTGTGTTTAGAAATGGCAGAAAAGACCCAGACCAGATTCAGGCTGAAGAAGGGAAAGCTCCAGGAGCGAGGGTGGGATTTGGGTTGAAGGGGACGCCCTTGTCCTGGGAAGCCCTGCATGTAGCTCTGCGTGCAGGGTTGTGTCCGAACGGGCAGCCGTGCAGGCAGAGCTGCTGCTGGAAGGACAGTGGTGACATGACAGCAGAGCCAGTGAAGAACCGGGCTGGAAAGGCAAAGGCTGTGAATACGTGTCACTGGAAAAACTCTACGGAATTGCTTTCCAGGATACTCACAGCGCCCCTGACTGCAAAAGGCCAAGACTGTTCACAAAGCACCAATGCTTTCTAACCACCATCCAAACACGGTTCCAGGCCATCATGTGCATGAACTCCTGCCCAGGTAGCTGTCTGGAGAACCCTTTGCCTTCCCTCCCACAAACCTCCCAGCCTGTCAAAGAGCAAAAGGAAACCCAAGCTTGATCTGCGTGGCCAGACTCTCACCCAAACACAAGAGATCAGCAGAGTGAATTATCAACCGGCCTGCAAGAGTTCAGATTGTCTCAAATGCTGTACCAGTTGGTAAAAAATAAAGCCTGTTCTCAGACAACTGACAGAAACAGCAGATTCATTCAAAGAACAATCCCATTTCTGTCAGGTCACTTGTCACGTTCGGCCCAGTTGCATAGGTGAGGGATTGACCTGCAGTGTGGTCACTGCTGGATAATGCATCTGGAGGGTACGTGCTGCAGTGTGGTGCTGAGGCAGGGTGAGGTGACACCCTAGCTCTTCAAATCTGGATACAAAATTCAGATCTAGGGATCACTGAATCATTACTCACCCTTTGCTCCATCAGACTGAACTGTCCCTGCCCATCGGGTACGTGCCGGCCTTCAGCACGACCAGCACAACTGGCCACCAACAGCAGAGGAGGAGGACGGTGGCACGGCGCCCTGCCCCCACACAGCCTAATAGGGCCTGCAGTGTCTCCTGACAGGGTGAGGGTGAAGCCTCCGCYCAGGCAGCCTTGGAGCATCTCCAGGTCTCTCCTAGAGAGGGGAACTCCAAATTCGGTGGTAAGCTGCGTGCTTGTGCAACTGCATGGCAAGCACAACCAGCCTGATGCGCACAAGGTGCAGACCACAGCCTGTACCTCCAGTGGCTGACAGAGCTCTGCTGATGGCTCCTGGCCCACCACTTTACCCCGCTAACACCAAAAATGCTGGTGCTCTACACACAACACCCTCCCTCCAAATGTCGCCACCAGTGAGGCCTCTCCTGGCCTGGGCACTGCTCTGCTGACAGAGGTCCCAGGTGCCAGCCTGTGCTTTCTGCTAGCCTGACCCTCTCCTGGGTTTTTCCGTTGGTCACAGTGAAGAGAGATGAAGCCAGGGCTCATGTGGCTGGAAAGATGGGAAGCAGCACAGAGCCAACCCCTGCATCAGCTTTCCTAGGCAGAGAGGGCAGCTAAGAAATGCAGCAGTTCCTCCCTACAGGCTGTGCCTGAAATAGCCAACACTGTCAGATCCCCATCCCCAGCCTTGATGGATTAGTCTCTCCGAGGCACCAGGCAATTTATTCATTAGTGACATTTACACCTTGTGGCTGCAGCATCCATTGTGGTTTGGCGACACGTGCTCGAGCTGTCAGTGCTGAGCTGGGAGGCAACACTGCTGCTCTGAGGATGAAGGGAGGCTCGGCCTAGGCACCTGAGCTTGCAGTGCCTCCTGCCTGACTCCTTAGCCAGAGCATGTTCACAGACTGCCTTTCTGTTTGTTTTTCTCTAAGTTCCCTCTGTCTCTTCCCTCAAATCACTGGTGCCCTAGCACACTGRCTCCTGCGCAGCCTTGTCTCACATCTCCCACAAAAGGCATCCCATCCATAAACCCTACAACAGGTGCTAACACACAGAGCCTCCCCTCCTAGATGGTGCTGAGCATTCGCACTGTTCTGCCCTCCTAAGTCAGCTCCTGCTGGAGCTGGATCTTGCTGAGCCCACAGCAATGCTTCCCCATGGGCTCCCTCAGCAGAGCCCATGACAGCGAACCCCCTGCTTCGATGGGCCGCTTTCATCGTGACACCATTCCCTGGCCCCACACAACTACAAGAGCCCACTTGCGCCTCTTCGTCCAGGAGAACACCAGGGAATTGGAGATAAGGAACGGCAAAATGTCACGGGCTTCTGCTTTCTGGCTTCAGTCCGTTGAACTCTGCAAAGCTCGGAAGGGCCTGTCTACAAGGGCTGAAGAAAGTGCTGTCAAGCTCCCCAAGGAAGCCTAAGGTGATGCAAAAGCACCATGCCAGAGGGCAGGGGCTACTCTGTTCTCCCTGGAGGCAAGCACAAGGCACGTGAACACACAAGCAGGGTTTGGAGGCAGGGTACAGCCAGCCTCGCAGCTCACCCTGAGGTCTGGCCACAAACGCAGCCCTYGGAATTCCACATTCACTGGTATTTCATGGCTGGCCCGCAGCACCTCACAAGCAGGGGACTGGAACGGCACAAACTCACAGCCTAGGAGGTTGTGCAGGGAAAGGGATGCTCTGGATAGCTCCAAAGAATGTCATTTTTCAAGTCAAATTTGGGGAAGGTGAGAATAGCTGGAGAGCGCTGGCCAGGGAGCAGATCCAACAGCTCTCCCACTTCAGCCAGCTGAGCAGAGGATTAGCTTGCTCTCAAACGGTGCTTGCTRCTTGCTTTTATCCCTGCTCTCTGCCATTCACAGCAGCAAATGTGATGCTTCACACTGTCTTCTCACAAACCAAACCAAAAAAAAGAAAACAGGTCAGGAGCTTCCTTTCAAGAGCAAGGAGGAGGAACGCTCTGTCACCTTGCAAATCACCTGCTACAAGCATAGATGGGCTCACGAAACCAGCCAGCCTGCAGCTGTGCACAGGAGCAGGCAGGAGCACCCCAAGGCACACGTCCTCCTCTGGGTACCAAGGGCGGCCTTGCTGCCCCCAGGTGAACGATTTAAACTGCACCCRCTGCTCCCTGCCAGCAGACACCACTGCGAAACCACACCCCACCATCTGATTCCTCCTTCAGCCCTTCTTCTGCACCACCACTGCACACTTCTAATAGAGCTGGCAGAAAGCGGGTTTTTAAATGCACAACTTCATCACCAAACATGAAACTTTTGGAGCAAGAAGAGCTGAGAAATGCTCAATGCTGAGGATTTCTCAGCATTGTCTAGGTCCTTCAGTCTCATCAGATACCATTCTTCTCTCTTCCCTTCACCTCACCTCTTGGGGACAGGCACTCTTGGCAAGGCAGGGGCAACACACACGAACAACCCCCTCCCAAACTCCTCATCGTGCTGAACAGGAGGGGATGTTTGCTTTCAACTGATACTCTGCGTCTGCTTCTGGAGCCTCATACAGAATCATGCTTGGGTTTTTCAAACCTTTTCACCATTGCTGGTTCATGGGCTGCCATCCAAAGCCAGCATTCCTGTCAGCTAAGAGTGCTAATGGGCATGGAGACTGATACAAAATACAAAGGGGACATGGGGACTGATACAAAATACTAAGTCATCTCAACACATTCCAGCTAGGCTGTTTCTTTCAATAATGTGAGTAGCTAGGATTGCAGAAGCCGCTTGCACTGATGGAGAGTGAAAGAACCTTGTGTGACTCAAGCTACTTGGCTCTACTAAGTCTGCTAAGTTATATCACAGTAGTGATCCACCCATCCCCAAGTTCTAAGGACTTGGAATTGTTCAGGACAAGCATCCATTTCCCACAAGCCTTATTTCCCTCAATGTCCAAAATCTACAAAAACAAACAAGTGAACAAGAAGTCCCAGCAGACACAATCTTCATTGTAAGGAGGGGAGGAGTAAAACTCAACTAGCTTTCCAGCAGCAGCTATGYTTATTCTCAGTGCTGGATGGACACACTGCACATCATTGACATGGGCTCCTGCAAACTCAACAGTTTCTGGAAGTGTTGCATAGGTGGATGATGTACCTGTCAGTAGAGCCTRGCTACGAGTTGCTGGCAGAGGAGCTTGCTGAACAACATGAAGAGAATGTCCATGAAGCCATGGACAGCCAAGGGAAGTCCATGAAGCCATGGATCTTGAAAATTCAGTTTTGTTCTTGGGTCCTCTTTTCCTCTGTGTGTGGAAAGGCTTTACTCCTGGGAGAAAACGCTTCTCTCCCAGTCCAGCAGAGGTGAATTTGCTTGGTAGCTTGCTTTCGAGGGAGTTGATGAGGTCACATCCATGGGCATAATGTTCCCCTTCGTGGAGTTGCTGTGGTGGAGGCAGCAGAGCAGAACAACTCAACCCACTGCTCAAAGATTCAGCAGATATTCAACATTCATTCATGTTGGCCAAATCCCAACATGAACCCCATGCATCCAAGCAGCACTACAATGGATCAATTTGTCTGTATTCAAGGGCAGATCATTCTGATGAGATGCTGGGCCATGCTCACAGCGGTGTAGTTCCACTGGCTTCAGTAAAATTACACTAGGAATGAACATAGCCCATTAATTTCTACTTGAAATGTGACCAAACTCATCTCCCATTTACCAAAATGCCCTTGGGGGAAACAGTGTTGGGTAAGCTCAGTCCTAGGTCCCTGCTAGGCCTCCAAGTTCTAGGAAACTGCTCTAGGTCCCCAAGCATATCTCTCTCAGGGGAGATTCTAGGTCTGCATGCACTGCAGGAGACAGCGTTACCAAACACAGCTAACATTTAAAGCATGTCCTATTTATGAGATCATATGGATCCATCATATGCATACAGACCCATATTCATATTCATGCAGACCTTATCCTCACCACGGAATATAAATGAAAGATAATTAGAAGGACATACCATAAACTGACACAACTGTTTAGGAGCACAGTCTCTGTGTGGTATAGGGGTATTCACACACATACCCTACAGCTACTGCAGCAGAGCAGGAGCACAGTTCAGCAAGGCTTTACCCAGCTGTAAGCAAGGCAGCATCTTGGTGATACTCAGACAGTAGTTACTGAAGTCACTATTGGAAAGGCTAGGGGGGAACTTCCAAGGTATTAATCTCACAGGTAATGTTTAACTGACATCAGATACCACATAACCTTCTTAAACTTACACTTACTAAACGTCAGAGGTATTAAAGAGCTTCACAGCCTCTTGAGCATAAGTAAGAAAAGACTGCATAGGAACAGCAGGGATGCACTGGTTCTCTGCATTTCAAAGGGCAAGGAAAGGTGAGGGGATATTTCTTTGATGGCAGACAAACAGCAGCTTCCCCATCACTCATCCTGAGTATTTGCCTTGATTCTGGAAGACTAATTAACTGAGGTTTCTTCTCCCTGTCCTACCACATGCCCCTACAGTTATTCAGCCTGCAAGCCTGCTCTGAAATCCCCCTCTGGAGTTTGTGAGACATTTAGGGTGAATTAAAAAGTAACACCAGGCCACTCGGTTTCACTGCCTGCTTCTGCACTAGCAAAGCACTTGGCACTATCTGGGAAGCTTTCAGTGCGTGTTGAAAGATGGATAAATTGGAGGTGACGTACATTTGAGTGAGCACCAACTAATTCAGAGCCCCTCACAGACTCACATTCTCTCTCCATCAGGAAGTCAGAGAGCTTGTAACTATCTGGCAAGTATATTGGTAACAAGAGGAAAGCACAAGTTGCCCAAGTTTATTGTCTACCCTTACTCCAGTGGGGAATAGCTCTCTTCTAGGGTTATATTAGTGGTCTGAAGCACCAAGAAGAGGAGCTGGCAGCATTCCCATTTCACTTGTCCTGATATGTGAGGAWAGTCTCTGACAAGGGCAATGCCACTGCTGACTCAGCCCATGGAGTGTTGCAAGGAGTGAGTGATGAATGGGAAAAACAAAGTCCTTTGGATGTGGAGATCTTTGASTTATTGCCTCCTCACACTGACAAGCACCCAGATTTCACCCTCCCAGACTATGTTGCAGGCTGCTTTCCTTGCACAAGTGGCAGCAGCTAAACATCCTTTAGTCACTTGGAAGACATCCTCTATACAAGAAAAGAGGACACTGCTATCTGTTTGCCATGACAGACCAGGTCACTGCTTGCATCTTTGTCCCTCTATCACTCAGGCCAGGATAACAATAGGAGGGATATGTTCTCTACTCAGAAAGAACTTCTGCACCATCAAGTAAGCCAAGGTGTGTCCAGTAAGATMGGGGAAAAGATCTTGCTGGGATTGCTCAAGGGCGGGATGTTGAATCCAGGCTCACTTGCTTGTGTTGGTGAGGCCATGGGGAAAAGGAGCAGGGCCAATTACACTCCTTAGCCAATGGAGGAGAAGCAACGTGATCAAGATACAGCAGGGAGAATTCAGGTTACGTACAAAGGACCAGGCTACCATGAGAGGAGAAGACCGAGTCACCAAATGAGCTGCCAAAGGAATCATCCTCAGCAACAAAGGGAAGGCACAGAGCAGACAGGAGTCTGCGGGAAGAGCAGACATCTGACTGTGCAGCCCAGCCTGGTGCTGTGCAGGGGATGGAGCAATGTGCTGGGGGAGATGGGGCCATGTCACCAGCAGGAGGCTGCACCCCACAGTTCCCAGCTTTGGGAAGCTGTGCCCACAGCCTGAGCTCCAAGGAAAATCAGTGTCCAGCATGCTAGGGTCCCTTGCCAACACTTACTAGGAAGCCTACACATGCACACCCGTTCTGCCAGCTGCTCCCCATGCTGGCAGTGGGAAGGGAGAGCCCAAGTGTCACTCATAAATTTCCTTGTCTGGCTGGACCAGCTGCCCTCCCATTGCAAGCAGGAGGCAGGAGAGAAAGCACAGCCCCTGCTTCAGTTTGTGCTTCCAGCACTTCTCTGCCAAGCCATAAGGCAGCCCCTGTCCCTCCTGCCCAGCTCTGCTCCCCTCCATGCCCAAGTGCCTTCTTCCCTCCTGAGCAAGGCAGCCTCCGGCCTGGAGAGAGCAAAGCAGGCTACGGAGCTACTCCGAATACACACTGCTTGCAAAGCAGCTGCCTGATTCCTTCCCAACTCAAAAAGGTGGAGGGATGTCAAGAGGGAAGGATACAGCCCTGCTCATCCCCCTCCTACAGCTCTGGAGCAAAATAGATTCCTCCAGGGACACAGGCACTTGTCCTCTTTCCTAGGGAGCCCGGGCAGCTTGCTCCTCTCTGTGCATGCGGGCTGCACTCAAATGCCTGTAAAAATCAGAGCTCGCTAGGCCTAAAGCCACGACGGGGCTGTGGTGGGAGCCAGACAGCCCTGAGCACTGTCCTGTTAGCCCACATCAAAGCCACCACTTTGTGATGTGCCAGTGCTGTCTCCTCTGTTCTTAGCCCTCTTCCCTCAGCCCTGAGGGGCAGCTTTTTGAGAATGGGGTGAGAATTGTCCTTTGGCTTTAGGCAGGGCCAGCCTCAGAACAATGGGCAAGTACCTGGGGACACAGAAATAGGCTGCTCTGAGAGCTGGATAGGAGGAGAGCTTCCCCTCACCTTACAGGCACTGCCAAACAGACCTGGGGTCATGTTTTTTTGTCATCTTGGCTGGCTGGTATTTGGAAACCYGGAGGGCAGCTCCACCAGGGTTTCCTCCACCCCCCATCCACTGTGGGGTAGGAGGGCTGAGAATATGAGGAATGTATCTCCAAGAAATGCTGGAATGCAGCAGGGAGCACCGTCAAGAGAGATCCTATTTCTCGTCACAGTGCTGTGCACGACGCCTGGGACCTGGCTGCTTGACTTTGTGCTTGGGGCAGCTGTTCAGCAGCAGGAAGAGGCTGCATGAATCCCAATGGCCTGGATGCTGCTATGCCTCAAATACACTTCCTTCTATCCTTCTACCTGGACAGACAGRCCGTCTCCAGAATAAATTTTATGGGTGAAAATGGGGCCAGAGGAACTGAATTGAGGCCACCTTATGAAGCAATCCGAAACAAAAAAAAAAAAAAAWGGCCAAGGTTCCTGAGAGCAGAAGTCTGCTGCAAGTAGGTGCTAAAGGATGGGGTGCATAAACCCTATTAATCCGTCCCTGTTCTGAGGGCTTTGTTTGCCCTACGGTGCTAAAAGACCTGCCAAAACTGGCCATCTGTCCAAAGCACCCTGGAGGCGAGGGATAGAAAGACAAGGCACCGGAGCCTAATTTAAGCAATGTGTGAGCGACTTCAAAGAGCATATGATGGGAAGGACAAGCGGAACACATTCCCTGCTAATGGCCCGCCGCAACTCCACTGACTGAACGTCTCCTCATTCACCATGACATACAAGCATGTTTCATCCCCTGAGAGAGTCACGAGGAAGCTCAGCAGCATCGGCCTTGGCTTATGTGAGGCCCTTGGAGAGATGAGAATAAGGGCACAGCAAGCCAAATGTAATCACTAAGCAAAAAATTCTAGTGCAGCCAACAGAGCTGTATCCTCTTTTACCCGGTTTGAATTTGTGCCAATAGCAATGAGTACGAAAAGGAGAGAATGATGTGTCCACACAGGGCATCTTATGCTTCCCTGTTCTCAAAAGGGCCCTCTTGTTTAAGCCAACATATAGGTCTGGTAGTGAGCAAGGACATAATCATAACAAAACAGAGTTTTGAAGGGACTTTCAGTTCAAATCACCATTCTTCAGAGGTCAGCATTTGAGAGCCAGGAGGACACACTGACCTGAACAGGCAAGAAAACACTGACCAGGACATGCCAGGGCATGAAGAGCAGGAGAACAAACCTCTCCGGGGGCAAAGCCACACAGAGCCTTACAATTCCTAGACTTGCCAGCAAGGCAGGGCTGTTTTATCCTGCAAAACAGAGATATGATGCTTGTTACAGAAGGACCCTGAAATGGGTCCAATTCTTAAACCAGTCCACTAGAGAAGCTTTCAGAAAAGGGCTGATGTGATGGAACATGACATTTGCACCCTCCACAAGACCAGGTAAGTAAAGCATTACAGCAGCWTGACCACAGAAACAGACCTTTTATTTAAAATGCTGGCAAGAGGAAGCCTGTCTAGACTAAATACAGTGTCTCACCATTTAGTGTTGTACCTTGCCTTTCTGAGATGTATTTGGAAAAAGACACCAAGCTTGAACGACCAGGTGTTAATGGACTTGCTCTTTCAACCCAAGAATTATTGCTCTCAGTAGTGTTTTGGCCCTGGGGATGAGGTGGTGAGGCTGAGGAACAGTGCTGTCCAGAAAAATCACTGGCTGAGTTGGCACCCACACCCCCAAAGAGCTGACTGAAAGAGAGACAGGTTTTCTGAGAACAGGGACACAAGAGATCTGGGCGTATGTTGATGGAAAAGGAAAAGCTGGGTGTCTGTACGCTGCAGACACAGGGGCAAATTCAGTAGCATGAATCCTTAGTGTGACCAAGATTCCTTCTAGCTGGTTGAGAGTGGTAGCACGGACTCAGAGCAGGCCAACTTGCCTGTACAAGAGCAAGGCAGACAACGCTGGGGCTAGCAGGCTATTAGGAGGAGAATTTGACTCACTCATGACCTGACACCTGTCTGGAAAATGCTCTGCAGTGCAAACTGCTTTTAAGCAGATTCCCTTCTAATGTATCCCCAGCGTCATTTTGCAGAGCATCCTCCGGGGCAGATGCTTCATCGTCTCCTGTCTGCAAGTTTTGTGCCCATGRCAGAGCCTTGGAAAGCAGGGATGATTTTGATCCTTATTCCACCAGCCTGGGCATCATGCACCACATGCTTTAAAATGTCTTTGCTTATCTTCCTCCCCGCCCCTCAGAGCTCCCTGCCAAAGCCAGGCTGCCAAAACTCTGAAGATCAAAGTCTGCAGCCAGGAACCAACCTGATTTCATGCAAAATTTAATTTACAAACATGCACCAATCTGCTGGTCTCTTTTCAATAGCTGAACTACAGCTGAACCTACCAGAGCCTTCCTTGATGCTTGTCTGAACCGATTAGGACTCAACTCGAGGGTAGGAAGGGACTTCAGCCAATTCACACACACTATTTTGCCATGACACCTGTCCAGTGTCATCCCTTCCTCCCTTTCCCAGTTCTCCAGGGGCCTCCTGTTTTCTCTTTCAGCTGAGCCCTCCTCCAGCAAGCAGAGCTRCGATGCTTGCTGCAGGTCTCCTCAACTCCACCTAGGTTGGCCGCATCCATCCCTTCCCCACTGCTGCCTGCCTGCTGAAATCCCAAACAGAAAGTCCTTTACCTAGGGGACGCTGCTTCTCAGAGCTGGCGTGCCGACGCTTCCTAAGGAGCCACGACTGGGGTCCTCTGGAGGTGGTGTCATTCCCAGCTGTAAGAGCAGTATAACAGTCGGAGCATGGTCTAAAAAAAATAAAATGGGGAGGGAAGGGCATGGTGGAGGGGAGGGGAAGTGCTGGGTTCGTGGCTTTCGGACTTTTCTCTAACCTGCCAGTCAGCTCCGCGTGCCTGGATGTCCCAGACTTTTGGGCATGAGCAGTTAAGCACTGCTGCCAAAGGGAACGGGCTCTTGGGCCCGTTCCCTCCGTCCTGCACGGGGCCTCACTGCAGCGTGGCAGCAGCGGGGGCTGCAGGGACAGCAGGGCCCTTTCTGGTGGCGGCCGTTTCCTCGGAGCACAAGCTAGCATGGAGACAGAGCTGGGGGGCCAAGCACTCCCTTCCCTGCATCGGGTCTGACTTTTCATTCCCCACCTTGAATTTGATGCCATGACCTATGGTTCCTGGAGGGGTTTTTGATTGTTTTTCTTGTTTAGTTGGGGTTTTTGTTTGTTTGTTTGGTTGGTTTTTTTTGCACGTGGTGGATGATCTGGAGTTCTGTGCCCTGCCATGGGCAGCACTGTCACTCATCCCTCCATGACGTCAGAGCCACTGTGGGGGCAACTTTAGCTGACAKCCAGAGTGAGAGGCTGGATCCCCTCCACCCAGCCTCATCCTGCTAGGCCATTTCCTTGCCCCGCACTCTTCTCCCCACATCCACGCTGGCCCAGGCCGGGCAACCCCCAACGAGATCTCACTGCCCTCTGTTCTCACAGTGAGGTCTCCACACAGGATCCATTGCGATGGAGGTGACGGTGGTCATGGTTCAGGCAGCCTTCGTTGCGGTGCACGATGAGGATGGGGAAGTAGAGAGCGTCCTGGTACGGAGGAGGATCCTCCTCCTCCACAGTGACCTGGCTGGAGAGGCGGGTCTGCTCCGTGGGGCAGCTCTGCTCGTTCAGGCTCCCGCTCCGGCTCTGCCAGAGGCAGCTGCGCCGGGAGCCGTACAGGCGGCCCAGCGAGAAGCGGCTGCTGCTGAAGGGGATCCTGGGGCTGCCGTTGCAGATGCTCAGGGCACTGCGCGAGAAGATGGAAGAGCTGCTTATAGTCCTGTGGCACCGCTCGCAGTTCTGGCGATAGCCCCCGTAGCGGCAGGCCGAGTAACTCGTGCAGCCTGAGAGCCCCACCAGGTCCATCAGGACGGCTTCCGAGTAGCTGGGCACCAGCTGCTGGTTGGATCGGATGTGCCACTCCAGCTCAGTGCTGTCCACCGTGTTCACACGGGGCATCCTCCGGCAGAAGGAGCGCTCCTCGGCTGGCGTCACCGCCACGTAGTCAAACCCAAAGAGTTTCTCCACGTGGTAGTGGACATAAGAGGTGCGATACTCATTTAGCACCCGCAGAGGCCAGGATAGGGTCAGCAGGGCAGCCACCCAAAAGACATAGTGGGATACATACCAAGGCAGGTTGTCTGGGTCAGAAAAGGCCACCATATATTCCTTGAAGTCCACGTTTTTCAGGTGCATCCCTTCCCTGGCCTCCATGTAGTCATCCAGGCCCTCATTCTCCGTGAAGAAGCGGGCCCTCTGGGTCAAGTAGGAGTTCTCTGATTCCACATTTGCAAAACTGAAACACTTGGTGAAGCGGAGTCGTGTGGCTGGGTAGCTCTCTAAGTCAATGAGGTCCTTGGAGATGTCCTTAACTCCACAGTTGGAATAGTCAAACTCGGCCTCTGCCACGTGGGTGTTGACCCGCTCATGATACACTTGGGTTGTGGTGTAGGCATCCCCATTGCGGTAGCGGGTAACCTGCCGGGTCCTCCGGACGTAGTGGTAGCTGATGGCTTTCCACCAGATGCAGGGGGTTGCCTGCTGCATCCGCTGGACGCGCTCGTGCACACTCTCCACATCGACCTTGTATTGCAGCTCGTTGCGGGTGTAGCAGTGCCAGCACTCCACCAGGTACACCACATAGAGCATCACCAGGAAGGCCAAGGGGATGTAGACATAGCCGTTGGAGCACGGGCTGTCATGGTACATCATGGACTTGCCCTTGTAGGCGCTGTCAAAAGTCAGACGGGTCACCTTGGTGACATGGCACCAGGTCATGGCTCCCATGCAGCCGTACATGAGCAGGGACAGCAGAAGGCATTTCCAGTGGGACTCTCGGCACAGCGACTTGCTGAGGGATTGCTTCACTGGACGTTGCTGCTCCAGAGAACCCGGGAGAAGGAGAGAGAAAGCAAAAGAAGTCAGTC